TATATATATATAATGAAAAACGGATAAACTATACAAACAATAATAACACAACACTGAATTAAACATACATAGAAACTGAATATTTGTTAACCCAATTTTTATGGCCTCTGAAAACTCAAATAAACTCTAGTATCAGATTAATCTCATAAGTAGAGAAATCTAAGAGAAAGGAAATTTCTCTGATTGTATCAGTACAAGGTAATGTGTCAAACTACGTATACCATTCAATTTGATTTATAAAATAAAAAGTTTATAGAAGAACCGAGATTACCAAAGAAATGCTGATAATTTTCAAACAACGAAAAGATATCTACACTTTTATCAGAATTTTTTTTTTTCTTATCAAGTTATACGGTTGGTGGATATATAGAACGCACGTAATTATATCAATTCTTACTTTTCCAATTGGAAAATATAAAAGTAAGACGAAATTCATGATGCTCTAAGCTTCATTTAATTTTAATAACATTCAATACCATTGGGACCTGATGCATAGCAAAGTTTCGCGAATATTTTACAAACCAGCAAATAGCAATACCTTAACAGATAAAATCCCGTTTCTTATATAATAAAATAAAGGCTGGTTTAAAACACATCACGAATACATCTCTTCTACAGGAGCTCTGTAACATTTTCGATGATTTTATTTGACCTTAGAACACGTATATCCAGTTACGTGGGCTGGGAGTCATCTAGTATGGCGGGAAAGGAGCGGCCACAGTTGACGCCCTCTTTGGAGTTGAAGCACAAAATACCGCCTTAGTCATCTTGTTCATAAAGTCACTAACAATTAATCAAAGACGACAAATTAGAGTCTAGCCAATCGCCACCTAAGATATCCGTAACTTCAGAGTTCGCATAATCAGGAAATTCAAAGTGAGAGCCGCAGCTGGAACTGGCTGTTTCTAGAGAGGGGAAGTCTGAAAGAGATGTTATGTTGAGGCTCTTCAACTCTGCCCACGCAGACGGGAGCTGTAGTGCCTCGGTAAGAGCGTCTAGATCGGCTAAACTATTGTCCATAAGCCCAGTAGAAGTGTCGGTATCTTGGGAGATCGCAGGTTTTGACATCTCACGAAAAGTCAACTTTTTATATCCGCCATCATCGTATAAACTTACATTAGTACTCTCCGGAGAAGCAGGCTCGTCTTCTGACAGAGAACACGGCACTTTACTGGGGGGAGTTACGTAATCCACAACCATCTTCTCATATTTAGTCGACCCCATAGATTCTTTAAACTTTTTGTCAATGGTAAGCTTTAGTTTCAGTCTGTTGTAGTTTACATCGCCCACAGGAGCCGAGACTGACGGAACACCGTAATGTATCCGCGACTGTTTAACTGGTTTGAAGCCTTTCTTACAATTGGTTACTTTGTGCTTTGTGGCCGGCTTCTTTTCTTGCTTTACAGTTGTCGGTTTCGCTTTCTTGCGCGGCCGATATTTGTAGTCGGGGTATTCCTGCATGTGTAGGACCCGGAGCCTTTCGGCTTCTTGTATAAACGGCTGCCGCTCGCTTTCCGTCAGCAACTTCCACCTCTTCCCTAGCTGCTTACTGATCTCTGCATTGTGCATGTCCGGCTGTTGTTCACAAATCTTCCGCCGTTCAATCTGGCTCCAGACCATAAAGGCGTTCATGGGACGTTTAACACGACTTGTAACTTTTTTACACTGTGTGGCATCAGTGTAAGGGGTGTTGGAGTTGACGTCCACCGTCATGGAGCCGAATATAGGCAAACTTTCACGTACGTGTTGCTCACGCTCGTCGGCACCACTATCGTGAATTTCCGCTGTACCTGCAGACATTTGCGCCCCGCAAAGCAGCTGAGGTAACATGAAGAACAACGAATACTAAAGTTACTTTACCAAATTATTCCACTTCTTTCAAACATCTACTTGTAAAAAAGAGTTATGTACTAAAATAAAAATGTCCTTTTACTGGAATATACTAAATATAGGAATAGGGTTCTCTGTTCTAACACATCACCGCACAAATAAACTGTAGACTGAAGTTAGCACACTACTTACCCGCCGTTTTCAAAGACGGCATTGATGACGACACACTATGATTAACCAATCCAGAACTCTTATAAAGCAGACGCTCTCGACGTGACTGTTTTCGACGCCTCCAGATGGCAACAACTAACCATTCCACCGGAGTATCTGCACTAGTACGATAATCTTAGAAGCCACCTATTGAGAGAATAGTTCCCTGAATACGATAATGAATGGTAATTAGTATGTTAACATTTAGTTCAGTGATTGAAAAACAGAAACATAATGTCATGATACTAATGATAATTTAAAAAAACGAGTTAATCGCCTTAGCCTACATAAAAATCTGAACAAACACTTATCGTAAAAAAACAACTAATTATCGGGTTCTTTAATCGATGAAAATATTACGATATTTCGGTAGCCGCTTCTTATGCACTGTTGTACTTGACCTTAGGACATGTAGGTTGCTGTCATTAATGCAACGTTGGGTTGAATTCCTTACTAGCAAGACCCTAGGTGACTCAGCTTTAAACTTGGGGCTTATATCGCTTAAACTCATGGTTCGATATCCGTTGTTGGTAAACAGCAGAGGGTCCATTGTATTGCTTTTCGTTTAAAAAGAGACAGACTTACCGCTTAATACGATAAAAGTTTCAATGTCTCCTGTGTAGTATTCTTTGTTTCCACAATGTAATATTTTTTTGTTTTAAATTATAGCACAAGTTCTACACTGCTTTGTTTCGTAATTATAATTCAAATAATATGTTCACACTACCGTCTCCTACTTAGCAGTTTATAGGTTCACACTGTTTCTCTTTCCCATCGCTATACATATACATCGCTTCAGTATTCAAGCAATGTATTCACACTGTAGTGTCTTTTAGCAACCAAAAAATATATCAACACTGTAGTATCTTTCAGCAACCAAGAAATATATCCATACTGTAGTGTCTTTTAGCATTCAAGCAATATATTCATACTGTAGTGTCTTTTAGCATTCAAGCAATATATTCATACTGTAATGTCTTTTAGCATTCAAGCAATATATCCATACTGTAGTGTCTTTTAGCAGCCAATAAATGTAGCCACACTGTGATGTCTACCTTTTAGTATTAAAGCAGTATATCAACACTGTATTGTTTAACATTTAGAATTAAAACAATAATTTCACATAGCTACTGTCTGCTACATAGTAATAAATTATTATCTCTAAGTGTAAATGTCTCCGGTAATAGTGTTCTATACATGCTGTATTAGTTGTCTATTAAATCCAGATACAATGAGTAAAAGACAAGTAGGATTTGAAACAATATGTGACATTAATAATAGTAATCTATTCTAGTAAACTGTTCAACAGACAAGCTGTTTAAGATACTAAAAATAAATCTGAAGCCCAAACTATTCTTCGATCCTCTACTTGTCGCTTTGTTATACCCCTTTCCATGTAAGTTATCACTATAAGAAACCTATTCTTTTTTTTTCTATTTGCCATTTACCATGAATACTGGTGAGGAATTGAATTCCCTGAAATAACTCAGTGACAAGCGTGAAATGAATGACAGTTTGGGTTTCAGATTTATTTTTAGTAACTTATTTAATGTTCGTGAAAATGTCTACTATTTTCAACAAAAGCAGATTTCTAAAACTTTACAATATTTCCTGTCTGAACTAAAGTAGACAGTTTCGAGCTTTGCAATGTCTATTGAAATAATCTCCCTTAACTACAGTGTATCCTATTTATAACTAAAATAGATTCCTCCACACAACAATATCTCTTGTTTAGTAATATAGCACATATTTCCTTGTTTCAGTGTTTCTCACTTAGAGCTAGAGAGAAAACATCTCGTTTCAATGTTTCCTACTTAGAGATAAAGCAAATGTTTCCTCCTTTTCGTGTTTAGTATTAAACATTAAAACAGATCTGTTCACACTACATTATCTCCTATTTAAAACTGAAACAAATGTCTCCTCCTTTTCGTGTTTAGTATTAAACTTTAAAACAGATCTGTTCACACTACATTATCTCCTATTTAAAACTGAAACAAATGTCTCCTCCTTTTCGTGCGACATTTGTTTCAGTTTTAAATAGGAGATAATGTAGTGTGAACAGATCTGTTTTAAAGTTTAATACTAAATCCTCCTTTTCGTGTTTAGTATTAAACTTTAAAACAGATGTGTCCACAATACACTATCTCCTATTTAGAACTAAAGCACTTATAGTTTAATAAACTAGTGTCTGCATTTTATGTTGATAACTGCGAAGCTCACGTTTTTCAGACTGTTGTGAAACGTTTATCAGGAAAATCCTGACGTTTCGTATGATAGAAAGTGATACTTTCACCTTGCCACTGCCGAGATAGTTACTCTTACTTGACGTTTTTCCCTATGATAATACAAATAGTAAAGGTCTCTACATTCATTTAAAGGAAACATTAGCTTCCCGTAGCAAGCCCTTTATACGTCACATGTAAGAAAACAATGTCTTAAACATCTGTTAATTTAAACACAAATATATAGCGTATAAGACTTACATTGCTGAAAACAAGAAAACTTTTTATATTCACCGTGATTTATGAAAATGTCTGTTTCTCACACTTTCAAGAACAAGTTTCAACAAAGTACTCTAAGTTTGATATTGTTACGTCTCCGTTTGTTAATTGATTTTCCGTAACTTCGTTCCGACGAAACTTTAGCGACACAAGTCCT